CCAGGCTGGTAGGTGCTTGGTAAAGCCTCTCCCAGGCTGATAGGTGCTGGGTAAGCCCTCTCCCGACACGCCAAGAGGTGAAGTGCTCTCTGTTTGGCGCTTTGCCTAGCTGACCTGAGATACAGCAGCGAGGCATTCTCAGGCCTGTGTCTGGGGTGACTGCGTGGCAGGAGGGGCTTTTCAGACACCAACCATCAGTGAGGGCGACAAATCACGCAGGTGGGGCATTTCTGAGAATGGGGGTGGTGTCCAGGGAGCTGGAAGTGGGGCTGGCATGTCAGCCTGAGAGGAGGAGCTGGGGAGTGAGGCAGAGGGAGAGCCAGCCCCGGGGACACTCTTCCTCGGGTGAAGGTAGAACTCTGATTGGAGCTCACACTTGTTCAATCACCATTTTTCCATCAAGAATGCCCAGTGGGGGCATGGAGGTGCGGGAAGAGCATGTGCGCGGCCAAATTCTCTATTCTCATGAAGAAGCAGCCTGGGAGGCCAGGATTCGGGTCGAGGGAGACATTCACGTTTGTGAGTTGGAGAAGAGTCCCAATCCCATTCTCATGATTAGAACTCATCCCCACCATAGCCTCCCGGTATAGTGCTGCCTTAATGTTTACCCCTTACAAGTACTTGGCTGATTGCCATCTGGCCGGAAGCTTGATCTACAGGAACAGACTGTTGCTATTGTTCTCCCAGCTCAGGAGACAGTCACACCTGCCCCCAGCACTGGTGGTAGGCTACTCCCCCAATGAACCCAGAGACCTCTAGGGTTAAGATTCTGCCCACCTTGTTACGCGTAGGTAGGTGTCTGGCTGGGGAGGGGGCTTGCGTACTCTGAGACTATATAAGTTGATGTAAAAAACACATGCACTCTCTCTCTCTGGTTCCTGATGCCACCGAAGGGGTGTGCACCCCCAAACTTCTGTCTGCCCCTTAATTTCTTCTCTGCAATGACACAGCCCTCCCTTACGACCCATCCGATGTGGGCTGGATTCCACAATCCGGTTCAGAAGTCCTGGGCATGTCACCCCCTGACCCAGAAGGTCCCTTGAGCGGCCCCTGGAGCCGGGCCGGGCCCCTCTTACCGCTGACGACGGCCCATCTTCCGTACTGCTTGACCAGGTCCGCCCTGCGCACCAGGCGGGGGACGAAGTGCAGGCGCACCAGGCTGTAGAAGTCACAGACGACAGTGATGCTCTTGCGGGCCGTGTACCAGGCGCCCACCAGCGCAAGGGCCTCCAGGTAGCAGTTACAGGATCTGGCGATCTCCCTGTACAGTAGGTAGAAGCTGTCCACCGCTGCCATGGCGACAGCAACCTGAGGGGGAGGGAGGGGACACAACGGGCTCAGCAGGGGGAGAGGAACAAGGGCCTCTGAGGACATTCCAGCTCCTTTCTGAATTCCACTCACAGGAACTCTGCAAACACACGTGGCCTGCCAGCCCCAACTGAACAACAAGAGAAACACTCCACTTGCTGGCTTCCAGGCACTCTGAGAACCTCTGCAGGGTGGACAAGGGCTGCCCTTGGCGTGGCCAGACTGCCCCGTCTTTCTCCAGGGCAGCAGTGGGTGGGTTCAAATCGTAGACCTTTCCATTGGCAGCCACCGAGCCCCCAGGGCGCCTCAGCCCCACAGCCCGGGTGATTCGTTGCCATCTGATCCCACAGTGGGCTGCAGCCCTGAGAGGACTTGCCAAGGAGCAGGATCAATGGAACAACCTGAAGCTACCCCGGGGGCCTCCTGTGATCTGGCCTGGACCACACGTGTGGCCTCGGGGCCCCACTCAATCCTCGTGCCATGAATGCACCCACAGGATGGCGGTGCAGAGGGCCCCGCGTGTGTGTGGGGACGCAGAGAGGAAAACCTGCGTGCGTACACACAGACACGAGGGAGCAGCAGTTAGGATGTGTGAGCCGAGAAGGGAGGAGATGCAAAGCTTGGGGGAGCGGCCCCTCCTAGAAACGTGACGTGATGACACAGAACACAACAAGTCCTAACTAAGAAAACATCCAACAGCGGCAGCAAAAAGGAGTCTCATCTTGAGGGAGAGAGCGCGACACCATCCTACTCCATCACTCGGTGAAGCTAACAGTGTGCGGACTCCCAGGGGATGCAGTGGGGACAACCCCTGCCCAGGGGGCTGGGGCGCCGGAATCACCCCAGGCTGTGGGGAAAGGCACAGAGTACACACAGGGTCTGAAGGTTAGGGATGACGTCAACTAGGTACTCCTGGGTAGGGGTAGGGGTGGAGCTCAATTTATCAACCCCGTCACAGCCTGCTAAGAGCTCCTCACTGTCATAAGCCTTTTTGTATAAGAGAGAAGCACCTCTCGGTGGCCCTTCACCTTCTGCGGGGGCTGGATCTTTCATCTGGTTCCTCAATCTCCTGCTGCGTTGCCTGCTGATCCCAGGAGTCATCAGCAGACTACCAAGGGTGGATTCGTTTGGCCAACTTCAGAGTGCTCCATCCACCAGCCTGTGCCCCCTGCTGCCTCTGCTCGGTCATCCTGCCTCCTGGAGTCAGGAGAAGCCTGACTTAAACCAGACTGGACTTACCCTAGCTCTACAACTGGTTCTGCGGCGGCATGGCAGGAAGTGATCTGTTAAAGAAATGCCCCTCTCAAACAACAGGATAGAACTAGAACGTGACTGGAGGGGCGAGGGGAGCCCATCAGCTCCTACAGGTGCAAGGCTAGGGCATGGGCTCCCCGTCACAGATCGTGAAAGGCACAGATGGTAAGGGCTTCTCACCCACTTTCCTCCAGGATTCCTTCTCTATCCCACCTCCAGACTGAGGGGCCGTCCCTGGAGCCTCCCTCTGCCTCTGCTGGGTGGGAATGCTTCTCTGGTGCCCGGGAGGCTTGGCCTCCAGCCACCACATTCTGCCCTCTCCTTCAGGGACCTCAGTACCTAGCCCCTGACCAGCCAGGTGGCAGAAGGTCGGCAGCCACCATGACAAGCCTCCCAGAGAAACAAGAAAAGAACCTTGAAATCAAGGCTCCCCCCTAAACCACCCCAAGCGTTCCTGAAATGAATTTTGAAAAGTGCGAGTGTGTCTCTCGGGGAACCCTGGTGGCAGGCGTCTGACTGGCGTCTGACTGCATGGCCCACAGACTCAGGAGAAAGAGGGGGCTGACTCTTCCCCTGGAGATGTGTAGCTTCGGAGACCATGTGAGCTGTGGAAGAAAGGAGATGAAAAACAAACAATGACAAACTATCTGCCCTAATGTGTCTCAGGAGTCCCTGGTGGTGCAGACAGTAAAGCACTCCAGTGCTATCCGAAAAGTCAGCAGTGGGGACCCACCTAGTGGCTCCTAAGGAGAAACTACCAGACAATCGGTCCCCAGCCCAGAAAACTCCCTGGGGCACCTGTATTGTGCCACGTAGGGTCACTAAAGCAAACAAACAAAACCTCACTGAAGTCAAATCCAAGGACCCTACAGGACAGGGTAGAACTGCCCCTGAGGATGTCACTCTATGTATGGAAGCAGACAGCCTCCTGTTTTCCCGCACACACGGCTGACCTTGAGTATCAGCTCAACGAGTAGCCCACTGTGCAGCCAGAGCTCCCACGGGGTCGCCAGGAGTCAGGATCCACTCCATGGGCCCCGACACAATGAAACATTCCCCGAGGGATGGCCCTGTGCCCATGGGAAGCCGTTCAAAGAGACCACCCTTCCCCCTGAACGGTGTTTTCTATGTTCTCCAAGGATCTCCAGACTTGTGAATAAAAACCCTATTCACATGCAGGAGGATGTGCACAACCCAGACATGCTGGCCTCTGTTCACCAGAGGCCACTCAGGAAGGTGCAATGAAGAGGATGAGGCTGAGTGACCCAGGAGACCAGGACGGGCTGAGCTCGGCTACCAAGACTCAACATTTTCCTCAAAGATGCCACAGAATTCTGACCAAAAGGGCGGGCTTGCAGAACAGAACTTCGTATTCTCACAGACGTCAGACTTCCTGGGACCATGGAGCCTGGATGAGCCCCTGCAACTCTTGCCCGGACATAATCTTTAACCTGCCACCAAAAAACACCCCCAGAAGTCTTAAAACTTCCCAAGGGCAGCTAATGCAATCCTTGCAGATAACAGCTGTCCAATCTACAACCAACTGCAGACCCGGGCAAGGTAGACTCAGTTATCTATAGAACTGCAACTCCATGCAGATTCTTCTAGATTCTTGGGGCTCTTAATGGCATGTACTTTTGGATTCATTATAACTGGCAGTGAGGGGGAAGGAGGCGATGCAAATTCCCAGCAGGGAGTGGGCCCAGAATGGACAGGCTCAAAGTCCTGGTCTGACATGGGGCTGCGGAGACCACAAAAACAGCCACCAAAACGGAACCCCCCTGCGGTGGCAGGGATTCTGACAGAGTGGCCCTACGGAACAAAGAAGAACTGCTCCTCCGGGTTTCTGAGACAGTGGATCTTTATGAAGCAGCTGGTAGGTTCGAACTGCCGTCGTCGTGCCAGACACGAGGGGTGGGGAAAGGCACCAATTGTAAGCTAGGCTCTCCAGTGAGTGAGGTGAAGATGAAATTACTTCACCTCTGGGCTTCCCTGAAACCAACTGAGAAGCGAGGATATTTCCTGCCTCCGATGATCTTGAGAATGACACCAGGTAACACCCACAAAGCACTTAGCCGGGTGCCTGCACCGGTAAGTGGCCAGGGCGCATTAGCTAGAGTTGTGAGCTGCCAATGGGCTGGTTCTGATTCACAGGGAGCTGATGCACAGGAGGACAAGACACTGCCCGTCCTGCACCATGCCCACAGTCGTCCTGGTGTTTGGGCCTCAGGTCCCAGACACTGTGTCCATCCATCTTGTCAAGCAAGGGCCTTCCTCCTTTTTTTGCTGCCCCCCTACTTTACCAAGCAGGATGTCCTTCTCCTGTGACTGGTCTCTCTTGACAACATATCCAGAGTACAGTAGCTGGTAGCCGCTACTATTCCGTCATCGGACAAGAGGAAGAGAAAAATAAATAAGAAAAAGAGGAAGACCGTTAATGACAGGGGCTGCCACGACAGGGGCAAACCCAGCCTGGAGGATGAGGACGGCACAGGACCCGGCAGTGTTTCCTTTTGCTGCACGTGGGGTCACTGTCATTCGATTGGCAGGGACTGGACAGCAGTGTTCCCGACAGCCTAGTCGACTGAAACCAGAGGTGTCTTCACAACACAATCCGCTATATGCTGCACCCTCCCGGGGCTCTGTGCACTCATCTGCCTCATGGCAGTTCTGTCAGTCACCCCACTACACAGATGGGGAAACTGAGGCCCACAGAGATAGAACGATGCACCCAGGGCCCCAAAGCTGGGCAGCTGAAGGAATTCTGCCTCCCAGGAATTCTCACACCCGAGGCTCTGCAGCAGCCACAGCCGACTGGATGCTGGGTTGTGTGGGGACCACACACCCCTTCAGAATGGCCTTCTCCCGCTGCACCTGATGGGGGGAGGGGGGAGGGGCGGGCACCTGGCAGAGGGTGCACCGGGAGGCACCCAAGCACCCCCAGGGGCTGCTGCGGCCTCCCCACTTTCTTTACGAGCACTATTTTTCTGAATTATTTTTCACCCAGGAAAAAAAAAAAAGACAATAAACTCCTACTCGTCTGGAAGGGAAAATAAAGCCACCCTGACACGGGCGTGGCTTGGCAGCTTACCCCCACACCCCGGGATGGACGGGTGAAGGGGATGGGAGGGGGGAGACCCCAGAATTGCAGGGTCCCCTAGGGGGGTATCTAGGAGGGGGGTGCCAGGGGGATTTATGGAGCAGTGGTCTGAAGGAAGGGGGATGACGTTCCGAGGGTCCCCAAAGCCGAGGGCTCCACAATGACGGGGGCGTGGCTGGGGGGGCAGAGGGAAGGTCTCGCAAGAACCGGAGGCTGGGACACAGGGAGAGGGTAGACTGGGAGACTCAGGGGGGCTTCCAGGGGGCGCGGTACCTGCAAAGGTGGCGCAGTCTCGGCCCAGTCCCGCCAGCCCCGCGCGGCCGCCGCCCCCGTCACCACCGCCGCAGCTGCCGCCCCGCACGCCCACACGTGACCCGCGCACACGCCGGGGGCGGAGCCGTTGCGGGGCCCGCCCCCGGCGCCCTCGGCGCGCTGGCCAGTAGTGCGCGTGCGCGAACTCAGCGGTTACCGTGGAGACCAGAAGAGCGTTGCACCGCCAACGACGCAGGCACTAGTGGCCAGTGGGGAAGGAGAGGAGCATCCCTGGCTAGACTGGGGCCACAGACGCTGCAGGGCGACGTGTTTCAAGATGCACCCAGAGGCCCCGGAGCTTGCGGAACAGGAGTGCGTGGGCGAGCCCGGTGTGGAGGCGTCTGCGGGGGACCACGGGAGCTCAGGCCTCAGGGCCCGCAAGGAAGGTGCTGACTGCTTCCCTGGAAAGAGAAGGGGCGCTGGGCCTGCACCACATACCTCTTCTTCAGACCCAGCGGGAGATTGGGGGCTAGGCTATTATGCGCAAGGTCAGCAGTTTGAAACCACCAGCGGCTCCTCCTGAGAAAGATGATGCTTTCTACTCCCGTAAAGAGTTAGTCTTGGAAGCCCAGAGGGGCAGTTCTACCCTGGCCTATACGGTGGCTATCAGCCAGCATCGACTCGATGACAGCGAGCTTGGTTTTGGGTTTGGAATGCAGCTCTCTGCAGTCAAAGAGGTTACTGAACTTGCTCCAGGTTACCCTGCAGTAGTAAGTGGTGCAGCCGTAATGTGAGGCTGCTAACCAAGGTTGGCAGTTTAAGCCCACCCAACGGCCCCTGTAGAAACAGACCTGGCACTATGAAATCCTACCAGAGCAGCTGTTCTGCCACATGGGGTCACTGTGAGTGAGACTCAGCTCGGGGCAGACTCTCCCCTGGACAACGTGACCTTGCATTTGTACCTCACGCCCCAGTTCCCTTCCTGCTCCCCATGACATTCCATCTTGAATTGGCCCCTTTGTCAGTGTCACCGTGTAAAATCATTGACAGTGAGCTATGGGAGGGCAGGACATCTGGACCAAATGCCCTCAACCCTGTCCAGCACCTGACATGGTCGAAAGCCTGGGTGAAAATCTGGGCTCAGTGTGGGACTCTCACCAGTGCTCCGGGGATGAGCTTGGCCCAGCACCCAGTCTCACTTGCCTTAGGGCCCAATGAGGAAAACGTTTTAGTGACCAGATAAAGAGGCCAGTCCAGTGTTTCCCAGAGTGGGCAGTACTGCTCCCTGGGGGACACTGACAGGATCCGAAACTCAAACTAAACTCACTAGATACCAACTCATAGCAACCTTACAGGAAAGGGTAGAACTGCCCCCTTGTGAGTTTCCCAGACTGTAAGTCATTGTAGGAGTACAAAGTTCTGTTTTTCTCCTGTGGACCAGCTAGTAGTTTCAAACCACTAGCCTTCTGGATTGCAGCCCAATGCGTAACCTCTGTGCCACTGGGGCTCCGGGGGGTGGGGAGGTGGTGTGCTGGAAAAACAGATCCATATACTCTATCCTGGATGATGGGGTTTAACAGAAAACGCATTCATTGCCACTGACTCTATTCCCACCTACAGCCACCCTATAGGGCAGGGTGGGCCTGCCCCTGTGAGTTTCCAAAACCATAACTCTTTACGGGAGTAGAAAGCCCTGTCTTTCTACCTTGGAGTGGCTGGTGGTTTCAAACAGCTGACCTTGTAGCTAGTCCGATGTGTCACCCACTACGCCACCAGGGCTTCTCCTCTTGGTGTTAGAAGGTGGGGTCAATTGTTTGGCTGAAATGGGTATGTGGTTGGGGTCCGTTCTGGGCTTGGAGGGTACCCTTCAAGTCGTGCCAAGGGTGCCCTCAAGGACCACAGTCGGGGGCAGGGAGCAGGGGAAGTTCCTTTGGAGGCATGTCTCAAGAAGGAAAAAGACCCATGCACAAGAAAACCGGCTTCCAGATAGTGCCACCTAGAATGGGAAGCGATTTGGTAATTTCTCCTGTTGACTTGAAGGCTTTTTAAATAAAAGAGACAAACATTCCCCATACTTAGCATTCTCGTTTTTGATTCTTAGTCCCCTACCCTGCTCCCCTCTGCCCCCGGGAAAAAAATTCACTGCCAGATGATTCTGACTCTTAGCCGGGTACCCCATAGGACAGGGTAGACTGCCTCTGTGGTTTTCTGACCCTGTAACTCTTGATGGGAGTAGAAAGCCTCATCTTTCTCCTGCAGAGGGGCTGGTGGGTTTGAACTGCTGGCCTTGTGGTTAGCAGCCCAGTGCCTAGCCCACTGAACCATAAAAATTAGTGCCTCAGAAACCTTTTGAGGACAGTTTTTACCCTGTCATGTGAGGTCTCTCTGAGTCAAAATCTACTGGACAGCACCTAAGGACCACCACCCTACGGAAAGCAGAAAGCACTATTGATCAAATTGAAATGTGTATGTGTGTGTGTGTGTGTAGAATTATACACACAACACACACAAACTCTATATATCTTTTCCTCTAGGAGCCCTGGGGGTGTAACGGGTTGCTCATTGAACTGCTAAGGTCAGCAGTTCAAATCCATCAGCCACTCCGCAGGTGAAAGATGAGACTTTCTACTCCCATCATGATTTACACCCTCAGAGACCCTGTCCTCGAGGGTCGCTGGGAGTCCGTGTGGACTCGGTGGCCATGAGTGACTATGTCATCTCTGTCTTATTTTACAGACATTAATGAGCTCAAAGACACATGTGTGGACCCTTCCGACACATCCTGCCTCAGGGAACAGAAACCGAGTGGTGATGGCCGGTCAGACAGTTGCCTGGCAGCACCCACAGGCCGAAATGACCGGGATGACAGCGGTACCAGGTAGGCGGGCGTGCTACCTGTTAAGAGCAGGTGCATCCTGAAGGAGGCTGCATGCACCCCTTCTGCAGGTGAACACACTGAGGTGCATGGAGATGGCACAGGCGCAGGCTGCCCAGTGCCTATGCGTTCTTGGGAGCCCAGCCAGGCTGGCAGCGCTCTGTGCTGGCAGCTGCCCACAAGCTCTGGCACCAGGGAGGGAGTGGCCGATCACACCAGTGGAAGGGTTTTCACCAGGACACACGTGGCAGGCTTTAAGAAATATTGAAGGCAGCAATGTTGAAGATGCTCTGAGAGCTATTTAAAATAAAAAGATAAATTAAAAGGGGGGGGGGATTTTAAATAGCTACTGGGCCTGCAGGAGGTTGTAGAATTTGGGGGCGGGGAGAAGGGGGATGTGGCTAAGAATGTTTTTAGAAGAGAGGTGACAGCTAAAGGATGACCCTGCCAGTTTCTCCACTGTTGACAGAATGACCAAAAGCCTCCTGCAGAAGCTCTGCAAGCAGCACAAGCTGTACATCACCCCGGCCCTGAATGACACGCTGTATTTACACTTCAAAGGCAAGGGCTTCGGCGGGGCTGGGCGGAAGAGCTGCTGGGGTGGGGCGGGGGCAGACACCACATTTGGGAACAAGGGTGACTCCCGGAAACACCTGCCAATGGGGATGAACACAGAGCACTTGGTGCTGCGTGCAGTTACACACAGACAGAACTCATTGCCGCGCTCGCATCCGTCTGGGCTGCCTCACAGAGCTCCTGTAGGAGAGGGCAGCCGAACTGCCCCTGTGAGTTCCCAAGACTGTGACTCCTGAACTGCAGACCCAGTGTCTAGCAGCCCAACACCATAACCATTAGGCCACCAGGGCTCCTTTCGACTTGGGCAAATTAGTCAACCACTAAAGGACAAGTAGTTTGTGAGGGGGGAAAAAAATCAAGACGGGGGTGTTCAGATCAATGGAAAACAGACTCTGAGGGTTAACACGTTGCCAGATCAGGCCCAGGGTGGGAGAACTGAACAAGGGAGGGGAGATGAAGCACTGGGCGGAAGGGGAAGAGGGTATTACACAAGAGACAAGGACTCAAAGTGAAGGGTAGGACAAGCTATTGGAGGGGCCAGATAAGTAGGTTACATTCCGCCCCAAGGCCCAGGTCTACACCATTCTGTCACAGAGCTGCTGGTGGGTTTGAATGTGACCTTCCAGGTCTGAGCACTTTGGCCCCTCTGGCCATGGGCATGCATGGCTGCGTGGCCCTGACTACCCCTCCCTGCCCCAGGCTTCGACCGCATCGAGAACCTGGAGGAGTACACGGGGCTGCGCTGCCTCTGGCTGGAGTGTAACGGGATACAGCGGATCGAGAACCTGAGCGCCCAGACGGAGCTGCGGTGCCTCTACCTGCAGGTGAACCTCATCCACAAGATCGAAAACCTGGAGCCCCTGCAAAAGCTGGATGCCCTGAACCTCAGCAACAACTACATCAAGACCATAGAAAATCTTGGTAAGGCCGGCCTCCCGCCAGGGGCACAGCCCCTCGCTTGCTTCCCTCGCTTACCCCTCAGGGAGGTACCGGAATTGGGTGGGGTGCCCCCCCCCCACACCGCTGGCTGGGCGAAGCCAACCTCTGCAGCCTGCACCTTCTTCCAGCCTGCCTTCCGGTCCTGAACACCCTCCAGATAGCCCACAACCGCTTAGAGAGCGTGGATGATGTCCAGCACCTGCGAGGATGCGCCCAGCTGTGTGTTCTAGACCTCTCCCACAACCTCCTGCGGGACCCGGAGATCCTGGCTGTCCTCGAGAGCATGCCCAATCTGGTAACAGCAGAAAAAGAAATGTTGCTGGTTCTGAGTTCTTAACGTACCCAACCTCTGACCTCACCGTGTCCTTCCTGCCTGCCTCCCTTCTCTCTCTCGCCCACTCCTTCATGCATCCATCCATCTCTCTTCTTTCACACTTTTCCCCTCTTTGTTTTTAGTGGGATTGTCCCAAAGGAAAGGAGCCCTGGGTTAACACACAATGGGTTAACACACAAGTCAGCAGTTCAAATCCACCAGCTTCTCTGGGGGAGAAAGATGAGGCTGTCCGCTCCGGTACAGAGATTCAGTCTCTGAATTCCACAGGGGCGGATCTACCCTGTCCTATCGGGTCACTGTGAGTTGACATTAACTCTATAGCATGAGTTTGGTTTCTGATTGGGTGGGTTCCCTTTTGGGCCACTGACTGCAAGGTCAGCAGTTTAAACTCACCTGCTGCTCCGCAGGAGAAAGATGAAACTGGGGGAAAATACAATTTTTATTCATTTGCACTGAGAGCATTCTACCCAAACACCAAACACTGCCGGTGAGTCCGTTCTGACTTCCTAGTGACCCTAGAGGACAGAGCAGAGCCGGCCCCTCAGGCTTCCGAGGATGAAAACCTGGATGGGAGCAGATAGTCCCCTTGTTCTCCCGAGGCACAGTCCGGTGGGCTTGAAGCGAGCACCTTTGGGTTGGGCCTGATGATTAACCCATGGCATCATCAGGGCTTATGCCCCGAACTCCACACCCTGTGCCCAACATTCCAGCCACATGCACTTTGAGTCATTAAGGAGGCTCTGCTGATTGGCTTCCAGCGAGTGCTGAACTTGATGGGAAATCCAGTTGTCAAGCAAATCCCCAACTATCGGAGGACCTTGACTGTCCGCCTGAAACAGCTGACCTACCTGGACGACAGGCCCGTGTTCCCCAAAGACAGGTAAGGAGTGCAAAGCCTCTGAGCGGTGCTTTCACATGAAACGTTTGAGCCCTGTTTCCTATGAGACTGGCATATGCCTAATCGATGAACACCTCCTAAAAGGTGGCTGCCTTCGAGTGGATTCCAACTCACAGTGACCCTGTAGGACAGGGTACAACTGCCCCTGGGGGTTTCTGGGGCTCTGCCTCGGGAGTAGACAGCCTTTTTCTCCCTTGGAGCAGCCGGCTGGTGGCTTCAAACTACTGACCTTGCGGTTGGCAGCCCAACATGTAACCACGGAGCCACCAGGTCTCCTCCGTATTATCATCTTCTCGGGGGCTTTGGGGATCGGTGTTCTTTGGCATTGGTCTTCTTGGGGAGTGGTCTCCCTGGCTACACGGTTGTCTCAGAGAAGGTCCTTGCCTTCTTTTATTTCTCCAGGGTGTCTTTTCTACCTGTCTGTTCACAGCCCTTCCACAAACGTCCCCTCTCCTCAGCCTTTTAAGCAGCTCTCGCAGCTGTTTTCCAATTGTTTGAGAGGTTTGCCTCCCACTTACAGCCTCGCCAGAGCCTGCGATTCCAGAGTGACCTCTGTCCAGCTGAGAGCTGGTGGGAGAGGGAGCCCCACTTGCCATGTCAGGTGGCTGGCAAGGCCAGCAGTTGGACTCAGGTCTGCTCCTTGAGGAACGTCTTGCTCAGGGGTTCCCCACCCCACTGGATGTACCCTCTGGCACGCTTTCTGAAGTCCTTCCACATTGGCCAGCAAGAGCTGGAGACAATGGCCCCATGGACTGTGGTGCTCTAAATTTCCCTTCTCATGTAAATTTCTGGAGAATTCTGACTTTGAATAGAGCCCCCTGAGTACAGGTGGCCTGCTGGGCTGTGACTGATCCATCAATGATCAATAATAGTATGATTGATTGAACCATTTTATTGGGATTTGGGTGAACAAGCAGATTGGTTTCCCATCTGTGTTAGTCCGGGGTAGACTAGAGAAACAAATGGAAACACTGTATCAGAAAGAGCTCTATGGGGAGGGAGGGGGAAATGAGGAGCTGATACCAAGGGCTCAAGTAGAAAGAAAATGTTTTGAGGATGATGATGGCAAGTAATGTGGTTGACACAATGGATGGATGGTGATATAAGAGTTGTACAAGCCCCCAATAAAATAATTTTTTAAAAAAGAAAGATCTCTATATACAAGAACAACTGAATATTGGGAAAACATCCCAGCCCAGTCCAGATCAAGTCTATAAGTCTGATATTAGTCCATATGTCAGACACTAATCTATTCAGGCTCACACAACACATGCACTGATGCCAAATGCAGGAAGATCACAGTCCAGGGGGTGGGAAGTCTTGTGGACCCAGTGGCAGTGTAAGCATCTCAGTGCTGGCAGGGGTCTCCATGTAGCTTCTCCATCTCCCAGGGCTCTGGCTGCATCAGGGTAGGTCCAGGTGGCTTCTCCTCAGGGTTGTCTCACAGGGAGTGTGTGAATGTCCCGCCTCCAGCAAGCTATTTATCCCCTTAGCGCCTCTAAATGATGTCATCAAGCGACCTGATTGACAAAAGTTTACCTGGTAAACTCCACCCCTCCACTCCATAAGTCTCAGATCGACAACAGATGATGTAACTACCATGCCATCCAAGAATTCAAGTACACAGGCCTCTGGCTTCACGGCATGGTCACCACTGCCCCAGCAGAAGGGGGCTCCCTTGCCTTCCTAGGTTTCCTGTTCCCCTTTGTCCTTACTCCTGTCCCTCCCTGCAGTCTGCGCTTTCCCCCTGGGGCACATGCTGCCCTGGGATCTCCGGTGGCAGCATGTGGTTTCAAGTCGATGAGACCTCTCTGGCATGACTGGCATTCGAGTAGGCCTGTCTACTGCTTCTCTGAGTTGAGCCGTGGGCAGGCTGCACCAGTCTCCATCAGACCTGTAAGCCTTCCACTGGTAGTGGTAGCTGGGCCCCACCTAGGCTGTCTGGGCTCAGGGTGGGTTTGTTCCCATGGCCCATTGGTCCTTTGGATGAATTCTCCCCACCCGCCTTGCTATTGTCCGTGTTTTGGATTTTCCCGACCTCTGAGGCGGCTGTGCTCGAAATTCTCAAGACTACACAGGGTGCTGGGTAGCTTTCCCTGTGTCTCTGGCTTCCGTGCATCTTCTTTGGTGGGAAAGGTGGGGGTGTCTGTTCAAACTGTCCGCTCACTTTTTAACCGGCCACTTTGTTTTCTGATGGTTCACTTTGAGGGGTTCTGGGGTTCTGTGTTGGGCTGCTAACCAGTCAGCTCAGCAGTTGGGAACCAGCAGCAGCTGCTAGTCACAGCCTGGGAAACCCATGGGGGCAGCTCTGCCTTGGCCTGGAGGCCACGGCGGAGTCGGGTTGCCTTTCTTTGGTTTTTCTCATCTCGGTTCCTTCATCAGATAGGTGTTTGCCACATACCCACCCCCTCGCTACCCCGCCCCCACATCTGAGGCATGTCTTTGCACACACTCAACCTCTGCCCATGTCTTGTTGTGTGTCTCTTTGTTACTGAGTTGTGGGAGCTCTTTCTACATGGTAGGTAAGCGCCCTGACCCGAGGGTGCGTTTTCTGGGAATCGCCCTATCCCCCGGCCCCTTTCATCTTGATGATGTCCAAGCTCTCTCCTTTTCCTCATCGGTCACCCGGGGCCTTTGGGTGTCCCGTCCGACGTGGCTTTGATGAGGGGGGTTATGTGTGCGTGTCCACATACTCACGACCCCGTGTTTGAATTTGACGAAAAGGAACCAGCTCGGCTTGGAGTCTGCTGTAGGTGTGAGGGGTCAGCCCTCCCTTCATCTTTGTCCATCTGTCTGTCTGTGCCCTGGCAAACAGAGCCTGTGCGGAGGCCTGGGCTCGGGGTGGGTTTGCGGCTGAGAAGGAGGAGCGAGAGCTGTGGGAGAGCCAGGAGCGGCGGAAGATCACGGACAGCCTGGAAGCGCTGGCCAGGATCAAGCGGCGGGCGGAGGCCAGGAGAAGACAGTGGGGCAGTGGCCCCGAGGCAGGTGTGTGCACCATCCCAGGGGGACTCGAGCTCCTGGGGGGCACCCTCCACCCCCACCCCGAGCTGGACAATGCTGAGCTGGAATCTCCTTGGGGGTTTCTTGTTTTTTTCCATCTGCACCCTGCACCTAGTTTACCTGTGGGTCCACCTACAGCTGGTCTCGCCCACCTGCCAGGCCACCGCAACTGGGTGGAGCGTCAGGGCACTTAGACCCATCCGAACTGGGGGGGGGGTTACCCCCACCCACGGTCTTCCCACCATTTTCCCATGAACTTGAAGAAGCACTCCCACCCGCTTGTTGGTTTTTCTGGCCGCCATAACAAACCACACCTTCATAGTGGACACAGCCCATGCTCACTGTCTCAGAGCTGAGGTGGTCAGACTTGCAAAGTGGGACCCTGTCCTCTCCTCCCTCCCGCCCCGCCCCCATGTGATGTCCTCCTTATCCTGAGACTCCCCTGATTTAGGGCCGGCCATTGAGGAAGAGGGGACAGAGGAAGCACTGGGTGTGGACCCAGGCACTCGGCAGAAGATGGAGGTGTTCGTTAGGGAAAGCTTCGAGGCCAAGGATGAGCTCTTCCCAGAAGAGTCCGGCCAAGACCAGGAGCTGCCTGCCGGGGAGCAGGACCCAGAGACAGAGGATCAGGAGGCAGCAGAGGTGCTCCCCACTGTGGCACAGAGCCCTCCAGGTCTGGGGACTGCCCAAGAAGGTGAGCCCAGGGTGGCAGGACCCCTAGGGCCCAGCTAGGTAGTACTGGTGGGATGGGGTGGCTGGTGCCTCCATGCTGTGCAAGGAGAACTGTGCCCGGTGGGGGTTTCCAGGGCTGATTTAAAAACACAAGCACAGATCTCCAGACCTTTCTTCTGAGACACCTTTGGATGGACACACATCCCCAAGCTTTTGGTAAGTCTGTCCTTCAAGGTCCCTCTGAGCCAGAATCCCCTCGCAGCCCCAGGTGGGACAAGTGAAGAGGTGCCACGTAGGAGTGAGGTCAGGAGGGACTGGAGCCACAGAGGGGTGGGCCTGAGGCTGTCTACGCCCTCTGCCTGTCTGGTCCCTGCCTCTCACTCTCAGATGTGGCTCTCGGGCAGACCCAGCACAGGCAGGTTGCTGGTTTCAAGGCCCAGTGATCTGAAGGGAGAGCAGGGACCAGGACCCCAGGATGAGCAAGCCGGTTGTGGTTCACCTCCCCCAGGCACACCAGCGATTACTGACAGGTGTCCCTCGCCCCAGGCCTTTGAGGCAGCTACACACACAGAACAAGGGGCAGAGAGGCCAGGGGCGGGCCTGCCAACCAACCACTGCTCAGGCCCCCAGGCTCCTTGTTGTCCACCACAGTTTCATCTCCTCACTCACAACCTCCCAGCTCCATGGTGACCATCTACTCTGAAGCTGGACCTGCTGTCTTTGGGGCCTCATCTTTGGACCTGAGGAAGGACACAGCCCAGTCTAGGTTGTGGCACGTTGGCTCCTGTCCCAGGGCAGCCCTGGGCGCCACACCATCTCAAATAGTTCTCTCTTTCTCGGCTTGGTCTCTCCCCAGCATGCTCTACTTTCTGGCTAGGCACCAGAGTTCACTTCGGTGGCCACACAGAACTCATCCACCATGCTCATGATGAGGGGGTTTAGTAGGGAAGTGGACAGAGTTGTTCAGTCAGGACAGGCTATGAAGTTCTTTCTGGTCTGCCAATAAATGCCCAAAGGGCATGCTACTCCGCTATATGCCTCTACTCAAAGGTGCTCAGCTCCAGCACTGAGAGTCAGCACCCCCAGTCCCCCCAGTTATGTCTCCACAAGCCAGTCCTGCTCCAAAGCGCTCTGTTTTACATGCTGTGTGGGCTGAGAAGTCCAGGACTCTGCCATTGCCCTGCCCAGGGATCTCTGGGTCTAGGGGATGTGCTCCACCCTTGGCTCTTGCTGGTTGTGAGATCCCTCCCCTCCCCGCTGCTACGGAGAGGGCTCACGCTCTACTCAGCAGGATGGCAATCACGGTGTATCCTATAAACAAGCACTCACAGCTGAACCCCATCCACGTGGACCCACTAGGAAAAGTCCATTTGGGGACAGCCAGAGAAGTTGCTCCCTGCTGAACCCACCACCCAAGCAGGGTTGTGGCCCTCCCTCGCCCTGTCGGATCCATCTCAGCCTTGTCCCTCTGATCACCTTCTGAAAGCCCAACCTCCCACTCAGGACCATTTGTTCTTGCTCCTTAGAGCTGCCTCCCCACACTGTGGCTGCCACCAGTAATGGGGTGGAAGAGAGAGAGAGGCTGGTGGCACAGGAGCGGCTCTTCATCAACGTACGTGCAGGCATCTGGGGGCAGGGGGCAGTGTGTGTCCTCCAGTTGGGGACATGGGCGCTGGGACAGACCTTCAAAGGGTAGGCTCTGGGTTGAGGATCCCAGCCAGGGAGTAAGCGTGTCCGGGTGACTCAAATGCTCATGTGAGTTTGGGGAGGACCGATCTAACCGGCCCCTTTCTGTAATCGAGTAAGCGCTGCCCTGGCAGAAATAGGAGGGTAAGTCATGGAGGGAGACTTTTACCGAAACACAAACCACCTTGTGAAGCTTGCTTCCCAGTCTTTCTCGCCCTTCCTGGAAAGACCGCTGGTGGCGAGGTTGGTCAGATAAACCTTTGGACAAAAAACAAAAACAAAAAAACTTTGGACAGCTAACCTCCAGGTGGGTGGTTCAAACCCACTGGCTGCTCTGTGGGGAAAAGAGGAAGCTGTCTGCCCCCATGAGGATTGACAGCCTCAGAAACCCTAGAGCTGGGGACGGGCTGGGTGACAGTGGCTGGTCCTCCCGGAGGACATTTTTCAGAGTACAGTTTGGCCATCCTTCAGGGACCAGACCCTGTTCTCTGAGTTTGGGGAACAAAAAGCTCAGAGGGGCAAGATCAGGCCTAGCTGGAGGGTCTCAGCCTTGTGGACCAAAGTCCACCGAGAAACAAGTGGACGGTCCATCTCAAACCCAAGAACTTACTGTAGCCAAACAGTAGGGCATCGTGAATATTTTTTAGGTCAGGACTCACTCCCTATTCCACATACACACACTGACCAGACTCTCCCATCAAATCTGCGACTTACTGTCGTCCCCTGGAATAAGCAAGCCCACCTGGCTGCCCTCCAGCGAGGTCCAGTCCCCAGCTCAGGTGACCGCCCCCATCTGTCAAGGCAGGACAGCGCCACTTAGGGTCTCTGGGGCTTGGCTTGTTGGACGGTAGATGACCAGGCCTCTGGGCGGATTTGAACTACCTTCTGTTTAGTAGTGAATGCATTAACCATCTGCACCACCCAAGGGCTTCCATTCTATAGAGAAGGAGGCACAGTGGGGTTAGGTCACTTGTCCAAGTGCCTAACTGCCCTGCCCCTCCCTGGCCCCCTCCAGACGTCTGGGTGTGGGTGAAGATGTTCCCCTCCCCAACATTGTCAAGCCACTCCCACACACAGGCTTTGTGGAGGTCCAAACATGCCACCTGTGTACCCCCAGGGTCCCGAGAAACTTACACAGAGGAGGGAGAGGTGCCTTTGGTTTGGGCCCCTCCTAGACATTATCACCCACACCTGTGAGGTCACATTTGGGGGCACCTCACAGTGGGAGGGAGGTGTCACATAGTGCAAACCCACTTGGACTGGCTGGACTCTGGTCCAGAAGTGGCATCATTTGTGGTGTTCTGTGTGGTCCCCTCCCCTCTGCCAGCGTTCACGGCCATACTGCCTGTGGGGTGACCCCTTGCACATGCACGGGTGCTCTCCGTGAACTGAAGCTGTCGCTTGCTCTTCCAGGACCTACCTGACTTGGAAGACGTGGATGCCAGCGAGCTCCTCGGCCACCAGGAGGACCAGGTGACGAGGACACGTGTTCCCCACAGCCAGCACCTTTCCCTTCTTCCCTCTCATTTACGAAGTGCATCTGCCGGACCCGAAGGGAGGACAGAGGAAGGGAACGTGGCTGTCTGCAACTGTCGCCCATCCCCTAGGGCCCCCGTAGCAAGAGTCTTACCAGGCTCTCATCACCACGCACCTGTTACCAAAGAGTCCTGGTGCTGCAGTGGGTAAAGCGTCAAGCTGCGGGGAAAGATGAGGCTCTCCCCTCCCATAGGGATGGACAGCCTCAGACACCCACAGGCCAGTTGTCCCTGTCCTGTAGGGCGGCTGTAGGACGCCATCCCCACCGACCTGTGGGTTTGGGTGCGGTTCCTCAATGGCTAGAGAACGTGGTGATGCCCAATGCAGGGTAGAGGGGCCCCAGCAATGGTGACACCAGAACCCGCCTGACTTGTTGCCTGCTTTCCGCAGACCTGCCCTCCCAGGATTGAAGCTGTCTCCAGCTGCTTGGAGGACGACAGTGACTCGGATGCGGACTCCGTGTCACTCCCTGGGCGGGAGAACGGGTCCAGAGAAGCCCTTTCCAGTATATTCGCCATTCCTAAAGGCCCCCCAAAGCAGGCTGAGGCCCCCTTTGCAGCCATCGTTAAAATGGGCACAGAACAGAGCTTGGAAGTCCAAAGAGGAGACAAGGAATCTCCAGGCCCTCCGTCCCTCGGTCCCCTGATCCAAGAGCTTGGGGACCTGCCTTCAGACCAGCTGCTGGGGCCCCAGGCCTCCCACAACAGGGACAGCACCACGCCCTCTTCCTGCCCTCCAGGTGATGCTGCTGCACCCACAGCCCTCTGCAGGTGGGCTGTGCCTTTTCCTGAAGGACCCACCCCCCCCAGCCCACCCTAGACCAGTGCTGGCCAAACGTGGCTGGTCATTGGAGGTACCTGGGGATCCCAAGCAGGATCGATCAGAATCTCCAAGGGGAGGTGCCCAGGCTCCACCCAGTGTGGGAGGCCCCGCCCACCCTCCCCCAGAAGGTGCAGCTCCCCTGTGCAAACACGTACCTTGGGGTATCTCCCAGGCTGTAGCCTTACTCAACAGCCATATGTGTGTGTGTGTGTGTGTGGGTGGGGTGGTCCTGGACCCTCCCCCCCAAACTGAGCCACTTTCTCTTTGGCCTCTTCAGAAAACGGTGCTGGCAAGGAGGCGGCACAGGCTGAGCCGGGCGAAGGGACCGACAGCGAGGACATTGAGTTTGGGCTGGATTGACCCCACCCTATCCCATAGGGGTCTCCTCCATCCCTGCACTAGGAGGGACAGACTGCGAGCTGGCAGCAGGCCGGGGCCGGAACCCAGCAGGCACAGCGGCTGTACAGCCGCCTCCCCTTTCCCCTTCATGTCCAGGGCATGCGCTGCCCACATGTTATCAGTGTGTTCAGTCACCTGAGGGAATGTGTGGTGTATGTATCTTTATTAGCCGTGAGTCACAATTACTTTACCAGTACCCTGAGAACAGGCCCCTTCCTCTGGACGCTGGCCCCATGACGTATCCCGTGGCATGTCCCCACGGGGCGGAGCTACGGTCATGCGGTGAAGGGGCATTTTGTGGAGTCCAGCCTGAGAAAGCGTGTTGGCGGACAGGTGGGTCCTCAGACTGGCCTGCAACGCCGCCAGCTCAGGACACTAGATGGCGATCCAGGCTGTGTAAGGCACTCAGTCATTTCACCGCCACACATGCCGGGGTCCTGCTGACCACTAAGGCAACACTGCACCAGGAGGGTCGTCGTTTCACCTGAGAG